GCCTTTAAACTGTACTGAATAGACTGAGTGTATGTACTAGTGTGCTTGATCAAAAAGAGTGATGCTGCCACCTAGAGGACCCAATGGTCTGTTTCAGTGCTATGCTCTCTAACAATGTCAGTGTGTTTCCACTATTATGGTCTATATACTTGTCTGGTATAAAGGGCCATCCTAATTATTTAACATCAGTGGCCATGTCTACACATCTGCTTTACTGTACAGTAGAATAATTAGCTGCAGAATAAAGTATCACCATCTATATGTGCAATGGTATTAGGCCATAGTAAACTAAGTAATACCACAGTAAGATAGTACTGTCAGAGACATGTAGATACTCAACTCAGGTGTAAATTGTACCCGGTCAACCTAGCCAGTCAGGGGGCAAACTTCTGCCTGCCTAGCCATGCAGCTCCACACTTTGAGCATCCTTGTGTCCCAGCCAGCCTCTCCACCACCCAGTGCTGCCATCTGGGGCCCAGGACTTATCCCCATGCCCCCTGGCAGCTCGGACCTGGTCTGCCACAGCTTAAGTTGCTGCCATCTTGGGTACACATGTAGATTCTGTGCCAGGGAGTAGTTTCCTCTGGGTCAAACTCCTCTAGAGTTCATTACTTTGCATTAATTACATGTGTATATGCACCCAGTAACACATAGAAAGTAAAACAAAACAACCGTGTCCAGTTTTATCCAAATGAAAAAGGACTTCAGGAGCCTTCTTCTTTCCTTGCACATCTGCAGAGATACTCACTGTCCTTTAGGCCCACTGTTACTGCTCTATGCTAGTTTAATTTTAAAGGAGAGGTGAACAGAAGAGCTCACTTAGTCTTGGATGGAGGCATATATTTCACCCCTTGTACCTGTGTGTCTTGTACAGAAACCAGAATTCTTGCAGTGTTTTCAAAGTTGTGCTCCATTATCATGTCATCAGTGGCTAAGAAAGTACATGGTCCAAGTCTCAACACAGTAAAATTCTTACTTATTAATAAACTATAATCCAACCCAAATTTCCTACTTTCTTTTTAAATGCTAAATCATGTGGTGCACAGTGACAGATTTTTTAAAACTTTTACCTTTACCCTAAACAGCAGGAATAAGCTTTTATCTAGTGAACACAGTGGATACATCTATAAATGCTAATAACATTAGCTAGTAAGCTTACTGAGTTGTAAAATACTGTGCAGTAAGCTTTCCCTGGAAGAGCATCTACACATGCTCTCATCAGCAGGAATTTTGCTCCCAAGAAAAGCAGTTCAGTGCAGAGATACTCCAGCCCTGCTGTGTCCCCCTACAGCAGGCAGGGGGAGCTTCAGACTCCCCCCTGGCAGAGGACACTGGGGCCAGGGCCTGGTCTCCAGTGGGTGGAGAAAGCTGTGCCACCTCCATGGCAGCTGCTTCCCAGCTTGGGGCATGGGGCTGGGAAAATATCCCTCCTCCCGGCTATTGTTTCCCACCCCTATGCCCCAATCTGTGGATCAGGACATGGGGCTTGGAAGCAACAGCTGGAGGAGGAGAGATTTTTCCCGCCCTGTGCTCTGATCTGCCAATAGGACACAGGACTGGGAGAAGGAAGTTTCCCCAGCTCCTGCTGACTGGGCTGACCAGGAGCAATTTGCTTCCAGTCAGCAGTTTACACATATGCTACTGTGCAGTAGTTACTGGGTGTGTCTATACATGCATTTGATGCAGCGGCAGTTTACTTGCAAGGAAACACTCCTGGGAAGGCATCTACATGTGCAGGAAAGCAGGAGCAGATTTGCTTCTGATAGCAGCAAACTGCTCCCACTTGCTGGGGCCCTGCAGTGATCCTGTGCCATCAGCAGGGGGAGGTGGAGGCTCTGTCTACATCTGCCTGTGGCTGAAGGCCATCTTTAAAAGTCAGCCCTACTCCCAGGCCAGTTGTGTTTCTGGCTATAAGCAGCATGCATAGTGCAGGGGCAGCATGTGGCCCACCACACCAACCATCTGGCCCACAGCTAGCTGGGTCCTGCTGGCTCTCCCACAAGTAGCAACTGCCTGCCTGGCCCCACTCTGCCATCCCAAGCCCCCTGCTGCCATGCACCTGCTGCCTGGACCCTGTCCAAGTCAGCAGGCCCGAATGACCTTCATCCATGGGTGCTGAGGGAATTGGCTGGTGTCATTGCGGAGCCATTGGCACGGCTGTTCGGGGACTCCTGGTGCTCAGGCCAAGTCCCCAAGGACTGTAAAAGGGTTGATGTGGTCCCTATTTTCAAGAAGGGGAGGAAGGAAGAGCCTGGCAACTACAGGCCAGTCAGCCTCACTTCTATCCTGGGGAAAGTCTTTGAAAAAATTATCAAGGGGCACATTTGTGAGAGCCCTGCAGGGGAAGTGATGTTGAGGGGTAAC